CGGCGGACACGGCGCCCCCTAGCGGCCCGGCCCCCTCACGGCAGCGGGGCGGCGCCATGAAGCCGCCGTGGCGCGGGAGGGAGGGCCGCGGCTCCGCAGTGGCGAGGTCGGGAGTTCGAGCCCCGCGCCGCGGAGAGCGCACGGGACCACCCCCCTCGGTGGGCAGCTGGGGTTCGCCTTCTCTGGGTGTCTCGGGGGGTGCAGAAGGCATTCGCTGGGCCCTCAACCTCCACTGAAACGCCTTGTCCAGGGCAACTCCAATTTGACAGGACTAATGTGTTACGGCTGTAGCATGATGCTGATAACCCCGTATGCATTGCAGGATGCATGTATGTCTGAAAAGGGAGCAGAGTTTTCCAATCAAGCTCTTGCTCCCACCCTCCCCAGGGTAAAAAGTTCTTAACACCACCTCCCCATTCCTTCTCAGGCTCTGGGACTCCTTCAGGGAAACATGTCACTTACATGTATCTTCCCCTTGACAAAGGTGGTGATGTCTTCTTCATTATCAAAGATGGAGAGAGTCTGCAGTAGGTTCCTCTCCAGCCGTTCCCAGTGCTTTGTGATCTCTTTACACCAGGTAAATGAAAAATCTTCCTGTGCAGCCCCATGGGACCCACTGAAGCCATCATTAACTAAGACTATTTAAAGCTCCCTCCCATTTTACATGCAGTAATTTGTGGGAGGTGCCCCCGCCCATGGTGGGGTCGGGGTGGAACTAGAGGATTTTTAAGGTCCCTTCCAACCCAAACCATTCTATGATTCTGTGATTTATTGGCAGAGAGCTCCGTGTGTGGCTTTACAGGGGCTACAGCCTCCTCTCTACATTGTTGCCCCCCTCGCCTGCGGTCCCCAGCCCCCTGACAGCAGGGACATCTCCAGCTCTCCTGCCCAGGCTGGTGATGCTATCACCTCCCCTTTGGGGAGATGGGAATTCATTTCTCCTTTTTGCTGTGAAGCACATACACCGCCGGGCACCACCAGCCGGGATGGGATGGGATGGGAGGGTCCCAGCATCCCCCTCCTGGCAGCTGGTTCCATGTTGGTCCTCATTTTGTGGCTCTGGAGCCCACACAGGGCTTGTGATCAAGTCCAAGGACGTTCTTCGCAGCAAAGAGGAGAGCAGGAGATGCAGTTCCTTCTCTGCTCTTCACCACGGAGCAGCTTCCCAGTGATTTAGTGAATAGTTATTTTAATAACCATTAGAGAGCCCCCTCCTGTAAACTCTAAAAGTGTTTCAACAGCAGAAAACACTGACATCTACCATCTCTGTGCTTATTGCCCAGCTCCCAGGAAAGCAGGAATGCTGTGTTTTCTTTAGGCTGTAAATCCCTTAACCCTGGGATGATCTATCTTCTGTGTTAGTGCAGCGCCCTAATCCCAGCGGGAGCCTTTGTGCACTACTGTAATATAAATATTTATTAGCTGGCCAAGCTCTCAAGGCTCTGCCTCCATCCTGATGCCGTGGCTGTGGTGCTGGGTTCTGAAGGCTGGATGTGCTGTGTGAAGGGTTTGAGGAGGTGCTGAAAGGTCCTTCTCTGCGTTTCCCTCTCTGCTCCTGCTCCCTAGGTGCCATCTCTCAGGTGGCAAACGCTGTGGGAAGGTGGATTAGTGTCTCATGTATATTCATAAGCCACTTTGAACCATGTGGCCTTTAATGGCCTGAGATTTCTCGGCACTAATATAGCAAAATAAAACAGTATTTATTGCAGAGTGGGAAAAGGCTTCTCTGAAAATGGATCCTTTGACAATGTCGTTCCACACCATCCTCTAAGATACAGACATAAGAAATACTGGAGGGACTGGAGTCACTGGGCGATGCTCTCAACCCCTGTATTTTGAGAGACACAAACTCCTCACAAACTCCTTATTTTTACATTGCTTTTTATTGAAATGTAGTACATTAGCAAACCCTAACTAACCGGTATACACTATTAACATATCGGCATATACCACGGAACTACAATACAGTGTTATACTTACACCAAAACATGTCAACAAGTTTTGCTGCTGTCAAGCTACAGTTTCGCAAGGGCTGGAAAGATCTGATTGTTGGGGGGGCACCGCACCCCCCTCATCATGCCCGTGTCCCCACAACGTCCCCATCGCTCGGCCAGACCCCCCGGAAGCTGCTGGCGTTTTTGGGTGACGTGGTGACACCGCCGTGGCCCACCTCAAACAGACTCGTGGTTTTACACACGCACAGAAAATGGGGGTGGGTTTTTTTTTTTTGGCTGTTTGCTGCAGTCTCCCGAGGCCAAAGGCTGGGGGTGTCCCCTCTCTGCTGGGACAAAAGGGTCCCGTCGCGGTGGATGCTGTGCATAGTTAGCCCTGGCCTCCAGCAGGTGGTCCCGAATAGGCACGGTCGTACAGAGAATATTTTACTAATTAACATCTACTCGTGAACTGCAGCAGGGCTGGCTGGGCAAGCAGAAGCATGGTGCTGTCCCTCACTTTGCTCAGAAGGGTTATTCCCCCTTTATAGGGCTAGCCCAACAGATCTTACCCACACCGGGAGCTAAACCTAGACATACAGGGTGGAAAAAGTCAACCTGCTGATATGGTGACAACTGAGAAGGCTTTTTTAAAATTTTTTTTCATGTAGCACCTTCCAGCACAAGCACAAAGCCAGCCCAGGCAGGGGACAGGCTGGGACGCCGCAATGCGGGAACCCCAGGGATCTGCAAAGAGGAGCTTCGTTTTAACGGCCCCAAACTCACTGTTAAACTTCCCCGGCTTGAGACAGCAGCAAAGAGCATCAATTTTATTTTCAAGCCCAGATTTTCCCGTGCTGGAGCGTGGGAGGGTCGCTGAGCTGTTTTCTGTCAGACCCCCCGCCTCTAACGCAGCCCAGGTACGAGCAAAGGCTGTGGGCAGATACAGCCTTTACTGCCCAAGGCAGGCAGAGGGTGTTACAGACCCAGGCAGGGCAGATCGAGAGCAAATCTAGTGATGAGGTGCTGTTCCCACAACCCATCAGAGCCGCTCCGTTGGGAATTAGCAGCTCTTGTCCCCCCAAGGGGTTCAGGCAGCTGAAGATGGAGTCAGAGCCAAGCAAAGGCAAGGCTTGGAGGACGTGGGAAACAGCAAAAAAAAAACCCCAACAAGGCAAATGATGCCACAAATGCACACAGCTGAGCTCAGGGCAAAGATTGAAGACTTTCTGGCTCCTGAGGGTCTCAGCCACAGTGAGCTGCACGTGGATGGAAGCGGAGAAGGGAATAGCCCGTGCCCAGCAGGAGCGAGGGAACATCCACATGTGTGTCCAGCAGATTTTTGGGCTGCAAAACCCCCATCCCAACTGTATGACACTAGCTTATGGTATACCTCAGCCTTGCAATGAAATCACTCTAAGTAGCTTCGACTTTCAATAAATGCCTACGTACTTCTTACTTTGCAGGAATATTAATACTTAATAATTAAATCTTTAGGGAAGGGACTATTTTTGGGCAACACCTTATACCACAGGGCCCCCAGGCCCAGCGACCCTGGATCAGAATCGCCATAAAAAAGAATAAACATTCAGACATTATTGCACAACCTACACATTCCATCTCAGTTCATCTGGGCATCTCCATGAGGCCAGCGGGCAGAGGGGCAAAAAGATGCTCCTTGCAGGGATCCACAGACCCAGCATCCCACACCAGCTTGTGTCCCACACTGCTTGGGTCCCACACCAGCCTGCTTTGGCCAAGAATGACCCACCAGGAACCTCCGTGCTCCCACGGACCCAGATCCTGGTTTGGAGCGATGAATTCCCTATGAGGGACTGTCTGGCACGGTGAGGGGCAAGATGCTGGAGGCCAGGTGGGTGGCAGTACCTGCAAAACGGGGACCTTCACCTGGCTCTTGGGAGGAGGAAACCAGTAATAATCAGAGGGGTAAAAGGGCAGAGATTAATTGGGGAGAATTAAGAGTGCCTGGGAATGTTACAGGCTTTTAAAAAGAGTAGGTGAAACAATCAAACAACTGACATCAGATGAAAAGGTGTTGATTAGGGCTGCTTTGCAAAGGCTCATGAGAGCGGCCTTC